TGCTGGAAAGTGTTTTGGAACGTTCTAAATGTTTCAAAATGTTTCTGGAGATTCTAGAGTGTTTGAGTCCTTAAATGGGTTTTAAACTTCTGAATTGTTCTAAAATGCTTTTGGAAATTGTAAATTGGTTTTTGAGTGTTTTGAGGAATTCCTAAAATGGTTCTAAAATTTCCGAAATGTTTTGAAGCACAACAGAATGCTTTTGGAAGTTCTGAATTGTACTTTAAGTGTTTTGAACGTTCCAAAAGGCTTATTAAAGTACTAAAGTGTTTGGTAGCATTCTAAATGGTTTCCAGTAACTTCTTTGTAGATATCTTGAAGACGTCCCTATATAAGATGTCCACAAACGCCATTCAAGATTTCTTGGTCACAGAGACATCTTGACGACGCCGTATGTTACGAAACCCAACGTCTGCTTAAAGGTGCGTCTTTAGTAGGTACTAAGACATCCTAGAGACGCCTTCAACGAGATGTCTTAAACACGCCTCTGAATCCCTTTTCAATATATAAACCATGATTCACGTTTAGGACTGGTTGTACCAAATAGTTGGACATCTCCAATACAAAGTCTTCTAGATGTCTTTTTTTTTGTTCAGATGTAATGCAAACCTAAAAAAGACGTCTTCAAGACTTTGTGTGCTCTCTGGGTTACAGTTGATTTGAAATGAAATGAAATTCATTATCCGCAACCACAATATACTGTTCAGCATTCAACATCCATTCAAGATAAAATATTACGTAAGTTCCTATACACGCCACTGGGATGCTCGTACCTTCCCTCAAAAACGAAGTAACACAATGCCGTCGTCGGTTCCAAGAAGAAATAATTAAAATAAGGGACTTTTTGGCCTGCGGACTGGGCCCGTTGAAAAGGCCCAGTCAAGGTGAAAGGAGCCAGAGAATCACGTTTTTCAATGTCAAAAAGTTTTACAAACACAAAATTAAATCGAATCCCCATAAGCCGAGCCGGTAATAGTCATTTCACGTGATAACGACGTCGTGGTTGCGCCAGAATGAACTTTTATTTAAAATAAAATATACCAGTCATAATTAGCATTATTATATGTATTAGTTAGAGTGAATTTGTTTTCGAAAAGTTTGTGTTTCAGATGTACTTTATTTGGAGGTGACACGATTTTTTCGTCCATGATTTACCGGTAAAATAACTTTCAAATCTATATGGTTATATCGATACTTACAAATTTCTAAAAAAAGTTGAATTTCAACAAAAAGTTAAACAAAAACTATACATTGTTAATGGCAGTTAGAAACGTATAGGTATTAGATAAAAGAAAATTGCTTTCACGTCCTTGTATAAAAATATTATCATTATTTTCCATGGTAAATAATGTAGGTACTTAACTACTTTTTTTTAAAAAATTTTAAAATGCATCACAATTCACTTTTTTGTTTATAAACAAACAGATATTCTTTGAAAGAGATGATGATGATGACCACACCAATTATTGTGATTATTTTTCTTGGGAACCCAACCTCGACATTCCTTTCAATACGATTGTTTTTTAATTGTTAATAAATAATTATTCATTTTTAAATGAATCAAGAATATAAGGTTGCCTTTCAATGATACTTTTAGCTTATATACCACGGATATAAGGCAAATTATATCCGTCAAGAGTGGTTTATTATAAACTGGGACAGCCTTGTTGCATTACATATTTTTCAACATTTTTTCACCGCAAAATAAGGTCGGTTAGTCCAGTTCGTGTATAATTATTTATGTATTTGAAATTCCAGAGAAAATGAATAATTTGTTCTTTGTTCATGGAAGTGGTTTTCTGATTCATATTCTTTGCTGTTGTAGAGGACACTTATTTATAGAAAAGAACTTGCATTTTAGAAAAAAAGTCGTTCATCATTTTGAATCTTTATCGTCTTTTTTGTTTGTCTTTATTTTTGAAAAAGCTGCCTCATCACATCTTACTTTGAACTCAAATTGTTCAGGAAATTATTGTCTGGCTAAAAATTCCTGTATCCTTGATCTTGGCTACAAGAAAAAATTAACTCAATGAAGGTTATCTCGCAGGCATGGTTGACTTTTACTTCAAGGTTGATCTTCATTCAATTTGTTTGCGGAAGCAAGAAAGAAGGTGGTCCAGTAGTCGACATAAAAATTATTGTTGCTAAATCATTTATTTCCGGATTATTATGGAATCCATTAGTGTTTAACGACTCCAATTGATTTATTGGTAAGATCAGAGTATTTATTCGAGACTGAAAAATATAAATTTTTATCACCCACTTGCGAAAGGCCTAATGGATTTATTTTACTTTCATCTTTCATTAAAGAAAATGCTAGTTTTTCTTAAAATACCACCATAACACTAATTTTTAACGGAAGCATATGAATAATTGCACAAACCAACAAATTCTCAAAAGTTGTAGGTATTTATTTTTAGCTGGCTTGGGTCATTGACTAAGTTTATTTCACTTGTGGCAACCGGATAATGGATTATCTTTGGATCATAAAACTGGATTACGATTCAAATGATTTTGAGGTCAAATTCAGCTACTCGACCCAGTTGAATTATTTCCTGGTTACTGGTTAGTAGATTCATATAATGACGCTCTTAATGTGTCTTAAATGCGTAGTTTCTATACAACCAAAAGACCTCAAAAGTCAATCAAGACGAATTAAAATTTTAATTGAATTCAAATCGACTCGACCGATTAGCTGCACGTTTTCATATTCAAATTATTAATTAAACTCTCATTAAATTGAAGCATGATCGATTGACATGGTTTTATGGAGAAATAATGCGATTTTTGTATTTACTTTGTATGGAAATTTTAAGTTATAAACTGTGTCTTTCGTTTTTCGTGCATATTGAAAGACAGTAATAACCTTTATGCGACTATAGTCGTGAATCAACCCTTTTCAGTCGGTATTTTTGACCAAATCTTAAACAAACCAACTAAAATGATTACAATTTACAACGGCAAAACGACTAACGAAACATGAAAATAGCAAATAGTCATTTCAATAGAGTCAATTTTTATATTCAAACATCAAAAATTTGAAATTGGAACACTTGAAATTATAGTCGGTTAAATGTTGTTTTAGTTTATAATCGTGGTTTTATCGACAACGTCGTCGCGACTTCGATAGACGGCTGGAATCAAAATATAGTAATCGTTATTGGTTCAAAACCTGAAATCTAACTAGAGTTTTGATATCAACGTTGTGACGATTTTAGTTTGCAACGAAAATTGGTAGGTACTGCGGGGTCGCATAGAACGTTTTCTGCCGACTTTGTTTAATACTAATCGGTTATAGTAGGTACCTACTTACCTACTTTGTTTTTACTCCATATAGAACATCATCTTGTTTATTTGTCTGCCAAAAATGTAAAGCAAAACATGATCGGTGAGACGAAAAAACTCAATAAATTGTCTCGAAAAGTGTCATTCTCTTATTCTCTATGTCATTTTCTGGGTAGTTTTGACGACTGCCAAGTTGATTTCATTATGTGGGAGGATCGAAAACTTCCTTTTAGTTATCTTTCAAATCCCTCTGTAGGAGAAACACGATCCCAAAATTATCTGGGATTTTAATCTTTCAACTGTAAGCTAAAGGCCTCAACAGACAACCAACATGCCTGAGCATTATTGTCGTCCAGTGTGGAAAGAACTGTGCTAAAAACGGAGCGAGTGTGCTAGGGGCACAGGTAAAGATTTCTTTGAGAAAACTGTATGAATTTTCTGGTTCCTGCCTCAAGATTCTTGAAATCTTGAGAAAATACTTTGCAAACTTCTTAATTTTTCTATGAGAAAGGTCTTTTGATTTTTAGAATATTTAGATCCTATCAGGTTTTTAGGACCCTTAGATTAATAAGGAGGAAATATTCTGTTTTTCTTTGAGAAAACTCTATGAATTTTCTGATACATGCCTCAAGATTCTTGAGATCTTTTGTTAATTTTGCAAACTTCATAATTTTTTTATGAAAAAGTTCTTTTGTTTTTTAGAATTGTATTCAGATCCCAGGTTCTTAGGACCCTTAAATTCAGTATATTTTTCCTTTGCAAATATTCTGTTTTTCTTTCAGAAAACTCTACGAGATTCTGAGTTCAGCAAATCATGAAAAGGTCTTGGTATTTTCATGGCCTTATCTTTAGATCCAGTATTCTGCCAAGGTTTATAGTTAATTATTTCAAATTTCTTCTCTGAAAAAATTCTGAAGATGTTGAATCTTGAGTCAATACTTTGTAGAATTCTTAATTCTTCTAATGACAAAAGTTCTTAAAAGCTTCCAAATATTCAGATCATTTCAGCAGATTCCTGGGATCCGATCCAGAAACTTTTTTTAGCAAATTATTTTCTAAAATACTGGTGAGGTCCTAAATTTTGCAAATCTTGGAAATATTTCAGTCCTCGGACGTTTCGACGTTGAACGGATTTTAAAAAAACGTCCATCGTACCTTTTGTCAAACTTTGCTTTTGTGCTATTAGAAACTTTGCTAATTAGGGGTGATTGCGGTCTGTGGAGTCCTTTTTCCTAAGGCTTTGAACATAAAATTTACAGAATGAGAAACGGTTCAAAGCATTTTGTGTGAGTGATAGATACTTTTCCTGACGTCATAGTGAAATTCTAGCAAACCATTTTATTGTGGTTTTCTTCAGAATCTATCTAAAAATAGGCTGTTTATCCAAACATACTTGCATTTTAATGAGGAAATTCCTAATTCCATAAAAAATCATCAATTAAAAATTGCGTCAGCTCAAATCGATGTTACCACAAAAAAAATCTTTCAACGAATCTAGTAGGTAGGTTAGGTAAGTAGTGGCTGTTTGGGCAAATTTCTTCAAGTTCGTTTACCCAAAGACAAAAAAATGCAAAAAACAAATCTCAACACCAAATCGTTTGTCCTAAAATACCCTTTCAGAAACTCAGTGCATGACTATTCCTGACGCAATCCTCTCTCTGGCTCTGCTTATTTTTAAATCAAGTTCAAATTCTACATACAGTCTTTCTTGATCCTTCATGTTCAATAAATCATCGGCGGTTCTTAACTCGCGAGGACTAATTTTTCCCCCGCAAGTTTACGTGTGCGTGTTTTCATACGAAAAACACAGAGATTAAAATTATATACTATCTTATCTGAGATAATCGAAAAGTTCCCGTTTGTTGGTTGTCAGTTGCAAAATTATACACTTTTTCGTTGTTTATTGTTAATAAATGGATAACAATTAAACTCGTCATTTGAGTATATTTATGTGAATTTTTTCGTGCTGGCAAGATGTGCAAATGTTGTCAACAGTGAGTAAGAATTTTCCTTAAAAGTATAGTTTTTTTTAAAAAAATAACTGTGTCTTCAATAGGTATAACATCAGCAGGATTAAAGGGGGAATAAACTGTGATTGGTTCCTACCTTATCGAATTATGAAGCTTTGCTCAGAAGTTTTTAAATTTTTGTTGCACAACGTTATTGTAAATTATTCATTGTCGCAATAGGTAGAGAAGCACCTAATTTAGTTTAAAGTTAAACAAAACGAATAATTTATGACACTATTATGTTAATTATTTGATTTAGAAAATTCAAAAATAAAGATAAAAGCCATGATAGTTCATTTGGAATACCTGCACAAAATTGAATTAAATTGTTTTTGTTGTAAATGCCGCCAAACTTCGCACAGAGACCTTTTTTTTGAGTTACCTATTAGTTGTTAGCCTTTAGTGGTAGGTATATTAACTTTTGTCAAGAAGAAAACATCTATTCCATTAAATTTTCTATATTTCTTTACTTTCTGCACCAAAAAACAGTAATTTAAAAAAAAAATCTAATGGAGCTCCTTATGAAAATATTTTTCTATTTTTGCTTGACATCGTCCAACGTTGGGGTCTCTATCACATTTCAACTGTTTGCACATCCTCTCATTTATCGCCTTAAAGTGTATTGGTGTTCAATCTAAGATTAAAACACATTGTCACAACTTATGTATCTTGTCGTGACGGGGTACGTAGCGTAGGGTTAGGCGGATAGAGACTCGCTTGGTATTTAGTCTAATAGACCGTCAGATAGTGACATATTTAGGTGCCCCATTTTCGCATACAAGCCTCGAAGAGGGTTGAAAAGTACATCGATTTTAAGTAGGATGAACGTATTTTCACGAGTGGCTCCTGGGGATAACAATGGAAAATTCGATTTTACTTATTATGTTACCCTGGAATGTACTTTTCCATTCGCAACACTCAAGCCAATATGTTTTCTTGCTACTAACTTTGTAGTTTTTCATTCTTCCAATGGGCTTATGTGGAAAAATAGCCCAAAATCTCGATTTTTCCTTACAAGATTACGCCTTTATTTCAAACCTTCAGCCACCTGCAACACCTCTTTCTTTGTTTTCACGAAGCCCGGTTTCATTATTTAATCCTTTGGTAAACACGGCTTGCGAGAAAATATGGGCACCAGGACGTTTTTTATTTCTGTTATGGAAAATCGAATTTTCCATACGTTATCCCCAGGAGCCATCCGTGAAAATACCTTCATCCTACTCAAAATCGATGTACTTTCCAACCCTCTTCGAGGTTGGTATGCGAAAATGGGGCACCTAAATATGTCACTATCTGACGGTTTATAAGGTATATTATAAAGAAAGATTATAATTAGTATTTACCAAAGGATGGCCCTATGGTACGAAGTGCCTCTTCTATAGGGCACAAAGGAGCTACCTACCTGAAAGTCACTGCTACTTCTGCTTCTCTATGTTCTCCTAACTTGTTTTTTCATCACTATCGGATTTTTTCCATATTTATCTCATCTTCTGAATCTCCATTGACTCCTTCCATAGGAGCGCTTTCTCTCCACGGGTCATTGTAAAAGGCAACATCCTACACACCATAAGCCATTGGATGCGCATCTCCTTCATCGTCTTCTTGCATCTTGCAATAGCACTGCCCCAATTCCACATGATGCTGCATCTGTGTGTAGGATAGTATCTTTATTTGGGTCAAAGTGCTTTAGTACTGGTGCTGATATAAGTTTTTCCTTAAGAGTATTGAAAGCTTCCTCCTGATTTGTGCCCCATTTGGAACCCTATGTTCTTCTTTGTTACGTGATGTAATGCTCTTGCTATTGCTGCGAAGTTGCATATGAACTTTCTATAGAAATTATATAATCTTAGAAGGCTTTGCACATCTTTAACTTTCTTAGGAGTTGGGAAATTCCTTATGCATATCAGTTAATCTTCGTCTAGTTGTATGCCCTTTTCGTTCACATTAAAACCCAGGATTTTTATTTCTTTTCGTAGGTACTCGCATTTGCTTTGCTTGCTGGTTTTAGGGTTAGGTTTGCCTGTTGTAATCTTTCCAAAACTTTACTTAATTTTGTCAAGTGCTCTTCGAACGTTTGGGAGAATATTATTATGTCGTCCAGGTAAATCAATACTTCCTTCCATTTCATGTCCCAAAAAACGTGGTCAGCTAATTTCTTGGAAGGTTGCGAGCGTTACATAATCCAACGCTGAGTACATTAAATTCGTATAGGTTCCGTGACCTAGTGAGTTGCTCGTCCATTATTTGCCCTTCTTTCTGGGATACTCTGTAAGGACGGCTTCTTATTGGACTTTGCTTCCTCTACTTCTATTTTATGTTCTGTCAGATTTGTCTTTCCCATGTGCTTTGTTGATTTGGTCTGCCTGTTCCTGTTCCACGTTTTCCTCCTGTGTTACTAGGTGATAGGCGGGGATTTCGTATTCCGGTTCCTCTAAAAATGCTATCGTGGTTCCTGCGTATAAAGCTATTGGATTTCTTGTGTTGGATTGTACTTTTATAGTGAGGTTCTTCCCATCTGTATAAATATGTGTTTTCCTGTGTTTTCAGTGTCAGAGTGTCAGAGTCGATTTTTTGCCGGCCAATTTAGATTATATTTACATTTGTAGCCCACTGTCTCGTTTAGGTTGCCGGTGTTGCCAATGATTTATAATTTCTAATTCTATTGTCTTTATTTCATTCTGTTATCGTGTGTGTAGTCAGGGCCGGATTTAGGCACAGGCAACCGAGGCAACCGCCTAGGGCGTCACGATTAGGGGCGCCAAATTCCAAATAAATTTATTTCGAGTGAACAAGTTAATAAAAAAAATGTTTTAAAATCCAACATTGTCCGATAACAAGGTTCCTGAAGCTTATAGGTTGTCTGGTAATGAGTAACTTGATGACGCATCTGGGGTGCCTTATAAAGATTTGCATTATGTTGAGGCACCCCAGATGACGTCATAAAGTTATCAGGCAACCTATCTCTCTCAAACAACCTTGGTCCGATAATAGGTAATTTACGTGTCACCACTGTCACCTGTCACCGCTCATCAAGGCACTTTCGATCATCTTTGTCTCAAGGCAGATTGAACGGACTTTCGCTCTAGGAATTAAAAATGTTGTAACCTTCGACCATTGAACACACTTGATAGTTTGATGGTCATAACATGATCGATGATGACGATGGTGTAGATTACAGGTCTGTTCTCACAGAAATCACAAACCAGCCAGACCATTTTTGATTGGTGCAAATCGCCAACAACCAGTTTTATGATTATTTTCAACCAATGAAATGCCCTCTGACTGGTTTGTAGTTTGCGATTTCTGTGAGAACAGACCTATCAACGAACTCATTTCTGACTTTGCAAGGCGTAAAGCCAGACGGGTTAATTTTTAGTGTTAATAATTTAATCAGTTTTGAGAAGTTATTTTTTGTTTAAATAATTTGGAAAAATACATATATCTACGGTATAGATCTGTTCTCACAGATATCATATAGGTACCTATCAGAGCGTATTTCATTGGTTGTAAACTATCAGAAAACTGGTTGCTGGTGATTTGCACCTATCAAAAACACTCCGACTGGTTTGTGATTTCTGTGAGATCAGCAGGACCTCATGTAATAAGTAAACATAATATGATATATTGATACACCTACCTACTTATTTGGAAAAATGAAGTTACTTTTTTTGTCTTATTCTCCTAATGATCTTCAACTATTTGACAATAAAATTTGAGAAGGGGGGCGCCAGAATCGAATTTTGCCTCGGCATATAATAGCTATTGGACCGGCCCTGTGTGTAGTCCTTTTTGGCTCCTATTTTATGTACTTTTTCTTAGGTGTCCGTGACTATTTGTATTAGAGGCTTAATTTTATCTTCAATTTTTGACTCTATCTTCCGGAAGTCTGGTTTAACTCTCTGGATACTGACTTCGACTCCCGTGTCTTTGAACACAAAATACAGCATCTGTTTGAATCTTTCCCATTCTTTTTCCAGTCCCCATCCTTGTCTAGAAAATATACCAGTTTTTTGAAGGACTGCTCTTTTATGCTTTCTCTCAGTGTTATCAAACATTTATACATGTTTCTTGGTGTGGGTTTTGTCTGTATTGTCTCTCTTACAAAAAAGAACACTGTTGAGTTTCTGTCGTGGTTTATTACTGATAATTGCCCGGCGCCTCCACCAAATGTCACAACTTTATCTTGTCGTGACGGAATACGTAGCGTAGGGTCAGGAGGATAGACTCGCTTGGTATTTAGTTTAAGTTGGTTTAAGGTATATTGTAGAGTAAAGGTTATAATTAGTAATTACCAAAGGATATGGCCCTATGGTACATAGTGCCTCTTCTTGTGGAAAAAATGCGAGAACAGGATCTCAAAAACTCACAATAATTATTGGAAAATCGGACAGGAAGAATTTAAATAAAATTCTACAAGTAAAAATATAAGCATTAGGCAAAAGACAAGAGAAAAGGTCACAAACGGATATCGGAGACGATACAAGCAACGGTAAAAGACATGCATGAGAAAAAAGTAGAACAGGGAAAGAAATTGAAAATCTTTTAAAAATTGTGCTTGATACAATGATGGAATAAGATAAGAGTCCAGTCAAGGAAATGATCTAACAAATACTAAAGAGTGCGCACGTGGAAAATAATTAAAAAAAAAAAAACGAAAGAAAAGGGGAATTGAAACAAATAACGTATGCAGATTTGAATGAAATTGGACAAGGTGTAAATAGGTTTGGAATATAAAATGTTGAAAAACCAACGGAAACGAGCAGAAACTGACAGAGAAATTATCAAAACTACATATACGTATTTCATAGGAATAAGAGAAACAAAAAAAAAAAGAAAAAGGATTACGAAAGTTGGGAAATTGATCCTGAGAAACACCGGTCGAGAGTAGAGAAGACGCAAAATACTAGGGCAGGGATAATAACAGTAGACAAAATAAAATGCTTGGACGAAAAAATAAATAATGAAAGGCTGATATATACGTGAAACTGTAAAACAATACCACAAGAAATAAACTAATAGTGTTTCGACCTTAATTTATTGTTTTGAATGTTCTATAACATAGAGTAAGCTTGGAATGTGCAGATAAGTTTTCCTCAAACTAATTTACCAAAGAAAATTATTCCTAATTTATTTACACCTATCAAGTTCCTATATCTGATGCTTTGTTCAAGTTTTCAAATTCCGCTGATTATCCTAATAAAAACCTCGAAAATTTTATGTAAATTGTAACACGAATCTTTGCTTATGTAGGATTCGTGAAATGGCTTTTTAACAGTTTGTTTATTTGATCGATACATATCGTTTGATTATCGATTCTGAAGGTGCAATTGAAACGCGACACGAAAAAATAATTCTCACGATTTAAGTTTCATTCGGAATGAATTATTTTTCTAACAACCATAATAATCGGTTTATGATTGGATATATCCATTTGACAACTATACTATACTAACTATTCTCTCTCTAACAGAAAACTGAATACTAGTAGTTCATCTCTTATACAACATGACCTCTATAGTCTATTTGCTACAAATTTCCAAAATAGGTATCACAGAATATATAGCTAAACCGTAGCTATATATTCTGTGGTATCATCCATCATCAATTATTGATGATGGCACAAAAACTCTCACATAAGAATGGTTTCTATAAGCATATCAATCGTTTAGTTGTTTGTTAATTTAAATCCAATTAGAATTCACTCGTTATATTGTTCCAATAAATTCACACATCTATTTATTACGTTAGTAAAACATCCTCTCTAGCTAGGCTAAAATAATAATGAGAATATGAAAAAGTTCAAACATCGTACAGTGATGCGCAGTCATTGTTTAAGTTATCGTTGGTATAAGAATTATTTCAAATTGGAAAACCAGCTTATTAATTTTTACTATGTTTCAGCTGTCTGGAATCATGCTACTGGAACCTTATAGAAGAAAAATTCTGCTTCGACGAGAGCATAGCCTTGTACGAAGAGCCCGTCACAAAGTCAAGCGAAAAAAATAACAACATGTTTGATAATATGGCATTTTTTGATAGTGTATCTGTGATAGGTAAGGATTTTATTTGCTGTCTATGAATTTGATTCCTCAATAGTAGGTATGTAATGACTTAAGTTTTTTCTTCCAACGGATGTTTTTGAAGCTAGGTTCTCTCCAAACCGAACTGACTACTACGCGCTTTTTATTGACGAAATCGTACTAGGGAATTATCTAGAAGAATTTGTTGCATCAGAAGTGAACAACTTGATTCTTAGAATCTAGCTGGGATTTCGATGCAATTTTGTAATAATATTAGTTAAACTGATTTTTTTTGGGAGATTGTTGTGTGAAGCACTGTAGATACTCCATCTTTTATAATTAGCTCTCAAGCCTAATGTGACTCTTCCAAGAGATAATTCTTTTGAACTTTGAAGCTTGTGTTATTGAATCTGATAGCGCTCTTCTACGCGAATTATTAGGAGTAGCTAGTTGGTTTTACCAAAGTGGCTGATGAATTAGTTTATAGTTCTTGGAGCTTTTCTTTCAAAAATGGTTCTCAGATAGGGAAAGTGCTTAAATAGTTTCAGTTTTTCCATTCGATCATAATGAATCCGCGTGACATCGCTACGTTGACGTAAATTCCTTTCCCACTATCTCTAAGAAATATAATTATTCTCTGTTTGACCGAAGATTACCTTGATTATTAGGGTAAAGGGAGGTGGGGTGCTTCTGGCAGTAAAAAATTGCTTTAAATCTCATCGTATGTCAATTGGTGAAACATCAGTGGAGGAAACATGGGTGTCAATGACGCTGTGCTTCTGTATTGGCTGTGTCTACATTCCACCTATGTTTCGTATTATGAAAACCACTTGAAATCAGTTGCAAGTGCCTGTGAAATGTTTGATAATGTACTTGTTCTTGAAGATTATAATCTTTTTCAAATAACGTGGTCCACTAGTAAGGATCTCTTTGGTTTATTACCTGGCTATGTAAGGTTAACTAAGGAAATATTGTTATGTGATGGTACTGCCTCTCTTAATCTGTCTCAATTACAATGGGGTGACTAACGATCATGGTTCAATCCTAGATTTATGCTTTGCCAACTTTGAGCTTGTTTCAATTTTAATATCTGACGGTCTGGTGGGCTGTGATCGATCGTTATCACCCAGCTCTGGAATTTTCCATATAACTGCTGAGAGAGCTAAATTTCTGAAGCCTCTCAATCGACCTATCTCGCATGATTAGAAAAAGAGAACTTAATTGTAATAAATACAAGTTAGAAAGCAATAAAAGATGACATGCGCGCGCAACTCATAGGCTGCAGTGTAGCCAGATTGTATTGTTGCAGAACAAATGTAGACAATACAAATCGAACATTATAACATTAAAGAAGTGATATAATATAGTGTCAAGTGTTTTACAACGTCTTAAATCAGACAAAAGAAGAGCATTAAAGTGGATGAACATCGTTTGCACTTTTATTTTGATAAATGTTTCATCCGGCAACATCGCTCAATGAAATTGCAAAGGAATATGTCAAGTATAATCTAACATAACCTAAAACGAAACTGCGGTGAGTTCAAGTAATATGTGAAGTATTAGTTTTCTCTTTGTCAAGTTACACGTTACAAAGAAAGAAGGAACAATTCATTCTGAACTGGCCGCTGAATAAGAATATGACGCAAGCTTGTCACAAACTTGCTTCCCATTGGACGCTCACCTGTAGCCTACAAGTGACGCGCGCAGTCCAGGTCAGGGATGTTCCGAGAGAATTTGTAAATGTGCACTTGACAGTATAAAAAGTGGGCATATCTGACACAAAATGTGCATCCCCCTTGTTTTTCAATTGTTTCCAATGTTGCCAATATGTATGTTTATTCTTACAACGTTGCCAGTTCCGATTGCCAATATTTTGTATTTTCATTGTCGATTGTTGAGCAGGCTGGACTGGGCTGAGGCCGGCTGGGGGCAGTGACGTACCAAGGATGATACACACCTACAGGATTGCTTTATCAGTCTCGTTTTTGGTAATCGCCGCCATATTGGTTTGTGACCATTTCCGACGTCTAACTAAATCGTCAACTATTTAAACAGTCTACGTCAAGGCGAGACATAACATGCTGCCTACGTTACAACTGGTGATTTGGCTTGGGAGGATTTGTTCTACACAGGCCTTATGAGGATAGGCCATTCTGTAGTGGTGGTGTGTATCATCCTTGGTGGCGTACAGGTTAGTAAAGTGTACTGAGTGTAGAGTATGGGAGTATGTATAGAGTACAGTGAAGTTACACTGAGTACTTTACTCGAATGAAACCCCAAATTCAGAATATTTTGTGTTCTATTTATTGACTGAAAAATAGTGGCAGAATATTCTAGAAATCATAATGTGCATATCTAGAGATTGGGGAGCATACTGTGCATATAAATTGGAAGTGTGCATCAATATGCACAATTGTGCAGTTTGGAACATCCCTGGTCCAGGTAATAGGAGATCGGTCTATTATTTTTCTATGACTTTTTAAAAATGCCAATAGACCTATCTATTTTACCAGACAAAGAGGTAATAATACGAAAACTTTATTAGATAGAAAAAGACGCAGAACGCTTATTGCACAAGACGAGGCAAAACGTACCAAATTATGTTAGACTTACGTATAGCAATCCGTTCTTATTATTTGCGCGGGATAAAAAAGGAAGGAGGAAAACCGCGTGATGTGCAACGTATTTGTCAATCAAAAACACAAACAATTGAAAATCGATCACTTGTCAAGCTACGTCAAGTTGAATATCAAGCATAATTTTATTCTTGTCAGATCAAGGGCAATGAACAAAGACAAGGAGATACCCAGCTGGCAAAAGGATTAATTCACACCTGTACTAGTTAGCCAATAAAAATGCATTACCTCGTGTTGCGCGCGCATACAGGTAAAAATAGATAGGTCTATTACTATATGTAATTAATGAATATTTTCACAGAATATTTTCTTTCCATTGATTGGCGATCCATTATGACTGAGGATCTAAACGAAACTTATTACTTACACTGACTTCAGTAAAACCTTTGATAAGATAAACCATAACATCCTTCTTTCAAAACTTTCAATTTATGGCGTTTCTGGACCCTTACTTTCATGGATGAACTTACCTTACTAACAGAACAAGTCAAAATCGATGGCTATCTTTCTTCTCTTTTCCATGCATCCTCTGGGAGACCCCAAGGCTTTCACTTGGGCCCCCTCCAATTCATCTTATTTATCAATCATTTAGGATCGTTGCTTTCCTCGAATTTTTTACTCTTCGCTGATGACTTGAAGTTGCATCTTCGATCTTATTATTGGTGTCAGCGACATGTTCGTCAACATTGATCAGTGGTGTTGTATATCCAGTAGACTCACCTGTAAGGTTAAGGTTCCCTTTCAGTATTGCGGTGATGTTCGTTTGTCTGAAGTTTCTATCATCAAAGATCTTGGTGTCTATCTAGATACTAGGTTAATGTTCACCAAGCATTTTGAAGTGGTAATTGGCAGGGCTGATAGAATGTTGGGTTTTTTAAAAGAGCCACTAAGGACTTAATAAGTATACGCCCCATCAAAAATCTTACACATCAATGGTCAGATCCGTTCTCGAATTTTCTGGCATAGTTTGGTCACCTTACAATCAGATCCACATCAATAGGTTTAGAGTGTTCAACACGAATTTATCAAGTTTGCTAGGTACAAACTGTCTCTGAGTGGTGTGATTCTTAGCGTTGACCAGACTATGACTAACTTAGACCTAACTACTCTTGTTCGCAGAAGGGAATACTTTGATGCCTGTTTTGCTTTTAATATCCTTTACTACTACATAAAAAGCCACGAATGTCTTGGATGGTTTTATCTACACACTCAAAGTTCTCGGACACGAAGTAAATCTTTACTGCATATTCCTTACTGTCATACTTGGTACTTACTATTCAGTCCTGTTAACAGAATATCTGCAAATGTAAATAAGTTCTATGAGGGTCTTGACTTTTTTAGTTTATCTCAGGAGAAATTCAACACGCGGGCCAAGAGAATTGTTTTAGGTTAGATTTTTAGATTATTTTAGATTTAAACTTTGTACCACGTCAAATGTATGTATTTTTTTAAAGGTAAATAAATAAATTAAAAAAATAAAATAATAAGGGATGTCGTGAAAATGTGCGAGGCTGCAGCCCTTGCGGCCGTATCTATCAAAGGATACCAAAACTCGTGTCGGCCATAAATAATGTTTTTTAGAGGAATCTGTTACTTGGTCCCCACAATTCAATTGCTTGCGTGATGTCACAAGTGTGATTATTATTTGAGAGTTAGGATATCTAATTTTTTGGAGCTTTTATAGCTTCCGGCCTTCCAGTTGCAGCATGTGGTAGATAATTTAGTTTAGCAACATGATCGGGTTATTTGTTGCTCCAGGTTCTTCAAGGTCTCAATCATCAGAAATTGAAACACATTATGGCTAACTTAAAATCAGAAAACCTGACAATATTTGACTTAGAGAATAGCAATAACATAAAAACTTGTGAACCACAATTCCTCTAACCATCTCCGAATTTCTCTTTTAGCTGGACGTGCGATTGTTACAATCGAACCCCTGGAACCGCACCGGACCAAAAAACCACCCTCGCAGCCTGTGTCGGAGCAACCGAAAAAAAGACTGAGGAACTGGCCGGAAAGGAATTCGAAAGATCTCCAACCGGAGTTTTTGCGAAAGGGAAAAGCGCCGTTGATTAAACAAGATAACTCTAGCGACACAGACGGTGGTACCGAGAGCGAGACGCCCCAAGAAAAGCTTTTACATAAAAAAGTGAGTTTTCTTTGATTGAAGAATAAAATTTTTGCGATTAACAATAAAGTAAGTTTATTTGGTATGTTTAAATAATGATTTGCCCAATTATGTGAACAGCTTTTATCTTCTTTTCTTCTTCGTCAACCCGTGTCCATCCATTGTCGGATATAGGCTTCTTCCAGGTTTTATCCATGGCCCGCGATCTCTCGCTAATCTCATCCATTGTCCCCCTGCTACCGTTCTGACATCGTCTATCTATCTCGTTTCCGGGTCGTCCCACATTTCTTGTTGTACTTCTTGGTCTCCAGAGTGCCGTTTTCTGACCTGGAGGCGTAGGTGGGGTTTAGGTAGACGCTTGGTATAGGTATAATAAGATAATGTATTGAATAATAATAATAATATTACCCTAGAAATAGTATCATGACGTCTCTTACTACTTATAGGCCACTCTGTATTATGTAGGTACACTCTGTACACTTGGCGTGACTGAAGACTGAAGCTGGACGTTTCCCATTAAAGGTAGTTTGCACTGGGAGAAGACTTAGCTAGAGGGGCTTTTCCCATTTGAGGTACTTTGCACTAGCCTTAGTCTGCCGTTAATGGAATTCGGCGCGGTATTTATACCAAATAAATGCTGACTCGTCGACACATTTTAGTAAAATTGATGTACAGAGTTGTATTTACTCAAGTAGTTGACAATACAGTAGAGTTTTTCGTTGTTTAAGAAGTTCACGAGCGTATCTCGTCGTTCTTTCTGTTCTCCCTGGCCAAAGTTCCCTATGTAGCATGTATCACCTGGTTGTTTCTTTCCTACCTTGGCATTAAAGTCCCCTGTAATGATTATCGGTATCTTGAGTGTTTTCGAGGTTTCTGGCCTGTGTAATGTCTTCGTATAGTTCTTCTATTAGTTCGTTGTTCGCTGTGCTTATAGGTACCTTAGCAGTGTATCAGAACAACTTTTATAATAATTATTATTGGTTATTGGCAAAAGGTACCTACAACTTATAACTTGTCTACTTACCTGGAGACATGAATGCATTCTCACTCGGTTTTCTAGGCGGATGGTAAAAGCGCCTGTCTCCGTATATTTGACAAGTTGTACTTGATTAGCTTTTGAAGAAAGTCTCAATGGAGTCTGATTACACACTCAAGCATGACTGAGGATGTCGGTCGGTCGTCGTTCTAAGGCATTCAGCACATTGTTTAAAATGATTAGTCAGTTCGGTTGGACGGACCTACACGTATTTTTCCCGACACATCGTGACCAAAGTTAAACTCTATCATCTCAACACAGTAGCAAACATGAGTGGCAACGCTGTGCGGTTTTGGGGAAGTGTTCAACAATGGGTCAGGATAAATACTGTTCGGACAAATGTCGGGGAAATACGGTTCAATATAATATGTACATACAGACAGGTCCAGGCTATTAGACACACAACTATTTGCACCGCTACAACTTAGGGGATATTTAATCCCAGTGGAGCTTTGAATGTAACTCTTGTAGAAACAAAAGTCACTTTCAAAGCTTCACTTAAATTTAATATCCCTTAAGTGACAGCGTTGCAAATAGTCAACATAGGCTTCAATGGAACTATACTATTTCTGAATCCAGCGGCAGTAAATGACATTTAATAACCTAAATTGTAAACAAACACCAGCCTTCCTATTGGTTGAAACGCCCTACCTGGACCAGTGCGCATGCATGGAGGACTTTTGATAGGTTGTAATGAAAATTACCAGTTTGTCATTTATTGCCGCTTGGATTTGGAAATGGTGTAGTTAACCATTCTACTGTAGGATCGTCATGGTGGATCGTGGATCATTGATCGTCCCTGCATGTTATTAAAATTCGTGCATCTTCGGCAGTTCTGCTATAGGTACTGGGCTAAGCCATCTACAAGCTAGTTATTTTTATCACTCCCTATGTAATTAGTGGGTTGATCCGGTCTGTATACGACTAAGAACCGGTTTATCAGTGGACTTTCAGTTAAGTAACTAGTAATTATCATTAGTTAACCTATAGCTAAACTAGATAATCGTCCACTGATAAACCGGACTTAAGGGTAAGTATATACAGAGTTGAACTTTGGTGACATTTTATCAGGACAAAATACGGGTCGGGATAAAAACGTGTCGGAGCAAATATGCACTACCGACTAGTCCTTCAATGGAAGAAACTATTCAATTAATCACTGAGAAATTCGATGCACCAGTCCTGCACAAAATCCAGTCGGTTGAGTGAACAAGAAATGTGTGCTTGCCAACTATAATAGCAAATTATTGATTTTGACTGATTTTAGGTAGATTTACATCTTGCATCTTGACGTGTTCTTACAAAGCATGTCTTACTAATGCCTTCAAGGTCCATAAAACAAACAATCTTCAGTATTGCAACTGAAGAAAACGGGTTAGTCCTGGAGTTCCATTTGTGATTGTAGAGTCTTGTTGAAAATAAAACTACACCAAATAGATAAGTTTTATTTGAAAAATGTTTTCATACAAAAAAATTTCTTCTAGTTAGTGTCAATCGACAAAAAACTAGCAATTCTTAAAAATAGGAAAAATGAGAAACAAAAAACTGAACAAGTCTTACCCAATTGGATACATACAAGCTAACGTTACCAAAATCATAACTGCTATAATTAAACAAATCCCCACACCCATATACTGGTTTATTATGAACCATTCAGCTATAGCGTAGTTTTGCAATAATAATTGATTAGATAAAATCCCTATTTATCTATTTACCAGGCTACAATCAGAGTTTATTAACTCACTCGATGAAGTGGAAAGGAGAGGATTTATGCAATAATAATTAATAATTCCGTTTATCAAATAGCGAAATTCCTTTTTGTTTCAGACACCAAATAAACTACTCACCGAAAAATTCCCTATGAAAAAATCGGTGAGTTTCCATAACATTCCAGAAAAGTCCAGCAGTTCAGGCGACGAAACCGATTACAAATTCAAAACTCAAAGCCTGATAGTGCCGGAAGAGGACGAAGTCACCTTGAGGGCCAAGTCGCTGAGAGAAAGGCGAATGTCGAAGAGTTTGTCTTTAAAAATTGGAGGTGAGATTTTAGTGTTATCAAATTGACACTAATATGATCATTTTGCTATAATATAATTATTATAATTGGTTTTCTCTAGATATTATTCCCAAAGAGCTTCCGATCATCCGTCAAAACTCGATGCCGAAATTCTACCTGGACACCCCCGACGAAAACCAAATAAGAGACTCCACCCTAATGCGACAAGCAACCTTGGTACTCAAAAGCCCCATGGTAGCGTCGGGCGAGTTCAATTTCGACCTGTACTCCGTAGTGCAAATCGAAAAAGACCGTCAGATTATAGAGGCGAAAAATCCACCAGCCCCTATACACCGCGAAACCTCAAAGTTGAATTTACTCAAAGATAAAATTATGCTCAAAAAAAGCAAAAGTACTGTCAGTGCAAGTAATTTACCTTATAGCAATCATATGTAGGATGTAGGAGTATTATTCAGTTAGTTAGTTTATAGGAAAATATTCAAAAACAAAGTGATTCTTTTTAGGTTTATTTACAAGTCACAAATTTTAAATAAGACATAGATATAAAAACCATCATTGTACATTTATTATTAAATTAATTAAGTCCCTCTTCATTGGATGCCGGTTGCACAAAATTGAGCAGCAATGAGGAGCTTTTAGGCGAATAAAACCGTCACGTTTGAGCACCAAACAAAAAAAGAAAAATTGTGCTTTCAACTCAAAAATTATTATAATATGCATGCACCATCATATTATTATTGATTGGTTTTCAATCGAGTGTTTTCAAAAATCACTGTATCGAAAATGTTATACATTTTCAAAATACTAATTCTAGGTTCCTTGTTGTACACTATTTTGAAATAAAGTTTATTTTGTACATGAAACGAAAAATGTGTCTATCAAAGGGCTTTTAGTCTCAGTTAGCTTGGCGATTAAACAAGAAATACTTGTGGTTTAACAGAACAGACATGTTAGTCCTATATTGACAAGCTAACTGAACTGACTGTCTAATAGGCCCCTTATGAATGCTTTCAACAATTTGTTTTATTAATTCACAAACCTTTGCCAGCTAAATGAGATCAAGATGTGTACATAAAAAAATTTATGAGGAATATTCGATTAATTAATTAAATTAATCACCGATTTATTCTTAAAATACATTTATGGCGAAATTATTATTAAACTTGGAAAAAAGCTGATACGCACATTATACAATTGCTTATGTCGATACAAATTGAAAAAAAAACCCGGAACAGTGCCCTCTATATTAGTTTGACATCAAAAAACTACTTTAATGGCTTGAGGTAACTCTTCCAAAAGAGTTATTTTTGAAGGTGGCTTAAAACCTTTACCAGCTTTACTTATTGTTACTTTAGTTGAGTTCGTCAGAATAAAACAAAAATGTAGTTGAAGCAACAATCTACTAAACGCAACCGCTGTATAGAAAAATCGAATTGTAAAAAATATCCTTCAATTAATTTAACTAATCGGATCACGTTTTCCAGTTGTGACGTTGTCCTGGAGTAGGAGGAATCATATCTGCAAAAATAATTGAGAATGTAGAATCTGAGCAATTTAAATAGGATTTTCTAATTTCTCCAAAACTAGTTACTACAGCAAAACTCGGGGTTACCGCGTTTACATAAAAGTTGAAATAAGTTTTCGAACAAGTAACTTACCTAACAAATATTGCCGTTGTAAATCGGCAGCCCTTTGCATCTGTTCAGCCAAATTCGGTGCCACTCCGCCAGTATTTTTGCCACTGGCGGCTGCGGCCTGCGCTTGCGCCTGAGCCATGGCCAATTGATAAGGATAAAATAAGGGAAAGTGCATCAGGTGCGATCCTGGAGGTCCTCCTTGCGTGATACCTGAAAAATTATAAAATAAATAAATTGAGATCTTTAGACATAGTCCTTATCAGTGTTTTCTTTATGGGTCATAAAGCAACTGTTCATTGAATGGAATGGATAGTTTTTGCCTTTTGAACTAAACTGTTCATCTAATGTTGGAATTTCTGAAAAAAAGAGATCAGGGCCCAAATTCCAAACTTACGATTCGACAGTACCTATTATCTATCTATATTTATATAGACGATACGCTCACTGTTAGTGGTGTAAGGAGTAACATGTTTTCATCTTATTTATGTTAAATATCGTATACAATTGTTCTGAATTTTTTGTAGTCTATATTTGTTTTGTTCTGTTAGAAAGGGTCCATAAACCCAATCTGCATAATTGCAGTGTGCCAAGACTAGCGACTCTATTAACATGATTTAGGTATTAGTAGGGAGAAAATGTTTAAATTCCTACGACTTATTTTAAGCAAAATATGTTTTCTGACAAATTGCAGTAACATGTCCTGTAAAAGATAATGGAGGATCTAGCAACAGACCTAGACTCTTTACTTCCCTATCCCATTCAATATTAAGCCCCAATACTCCTTCCAAACAAAATAGCCTTAGTTTTTGATGGATTTACAACTAATTCGTTCTTCTGTGCCCACTCAGTAATCTTAATAAGATCCTGACTAATTTTTCCACAACACTTGTCAAGTCAAATGTATAAATGGAATACAACAGTGGTCCAAGAATGGACCCCTGTAGAACCCCAGATTGTCTCTGTCTTAGTTCTGAGAGCTTAGTGATACCTGAGATGTTGATTCGGATCAGCTGGTAACGCCCACCATAAGAGGCTAATATGATCAAAGTTTAAATATTCGAGCTTAGTTAAGAGAGAAGTTTGTGATTTATTGAATTGAAAACCCTTGTCATGTCCAGTAGGACCAAGGCTGTCCAGTGCCTAACTCGTTCCGCAAACTGCAATCGCGTACGGAAAAGTGGTACTTTCCGCATTAGTTAGGAAATATACTATATAGATAGGCATAATATTGACTTTTTTGCTTGTCGAATGTAAGATGTATCAATAAATAAATAATTCTTGAAAATTTACAAATAGATTCCCACCAACCTCAAGTCCCTTAATGTTCCAACATTTAAAAAGAAGAAATTTTTAGTTTTAAATCATTAGTGATTTCGTGACACTGCGATAGTTAGCTTACTGTATCCCTTGCTGTTTCTGTGGTGTCGAGTTCTCCAGTAAGCGAGTGCTGTTCACTTCAATAAGATGTGACAGGCTGATTCTTCATCCTCCTCGCACAGTTTACAGATGGGCTCATCTTGGTAGATACCCCTCTTGTGTAAGCGTTTTCTCAGTGTACACTGATAGGTTAAGAAACTGTCACAATTCTGATTCGATTCCTCGTGAGCTTTGGGATCTCAGAGGCTAATCTTGGTGTAGGATATTTCACCATTGCCTTTCTGTGGTGTTGCCTCAATGTTTGATACCAGTGGGTTTTGTGTTCCTCTCATATACACTTTTCTAAGGAACCACATATTGAAGTTTTTGATATTTCGAATAGAGGTTCAGGACCTGTGTGCCCCAGCAACCACGTAAGAGTTACCTTATTATGACTGACTAGGATTATAAGGGGTTGCAGGCAATCCCACACTAATTTATACTTTATCTGTTGGCATGCTAGAGCTTTAATAGCTGCTTGGCTATCTGAAAAGATCGTGATATCCTTGTGTACATCCCCCTTCTCAGATTTTCCCATGGGCATATCTCTACTGCATGTATTTCGGCTTGGAACACTGTGGTATGCTTCCCCAGTGGAGAAAGCCATTTTGCTTGTGTGGCTATGTCATATACTGAGTCACCGGTTCTACTGTCGGTTTTCCATCTGTGTACCATACTAGCTTTCCATTCTGGACTAGTGAGTCTACTGTTGTTTTCCCAGTTAATCTGAATTTGAAATGGCTTGTGAGTGTTTATTTTTGAGGTCATGTTGTCACTTCTCATCTCAACCAGTGAGTTTGTATATAAAAATGTTTCTTATCCTAGTATCTTTATAATTCTAATTCTGGCCACAATAGAGTTTGTGTACTTCACATTATTCCCATTATGCAGAGACAAGTCAATCTTTGAAGTTTGGACAGCTCTATTGTTGCTTTGCTCTGTTCGACGTTTGGCCACCAAACTATTTATCCGTAGGTCATTCTGGGTCTTACCACTTCTGTATAGATCCAATACACTATGTGGCCTAGAAATCCCCATGTCTTTCCCACTGGCTCTTTTGGTGGCCATTAGCGCCATTTTACCTTTTTCGGTGGCATATTCAATATTATTATGCGCGTTCCAGGATAATCCCTAAGCATTTGACTTCCCAGACGAATTGTATTCACTTTTCGAAGAAAGTGGGAGCGACTAGATCGTCTAGTTTTTTTCTTTTTGTGAAGGGGACTATTACTGTTTTCTCAGGGTTGACTCTCAGGTTTGCCCTTTTCACCCAGCCCTCCACGATTTTGAGCACTCTTTGCATTTGCGCAGAAGTAGTTTGTCAATTATTCTCCATGACTACGGCTACTATATCATCTGAGTAGCCCTGGGACAGGTATAAATTGGATAGTCATTGTAAAACTGATCTCTCATCTTCTTTAAAACAGTTTAGGCCAAAATTTATGCCGTTTTATGAAAGAAACTTATTTCTTTTTTTGCAAATAAATGCTTATTATTATAACTAATTCGAAAAATAATTCCTAGTACTTACTTCGTAATAATTGTTGCATGGCGGCGGCGCTTTGCTGTGCACTCTGCGAAGAACTTTGGTGGCTCCCTCTGGGCTGTGGCGGCGGTGTCGGCTGCGCCGGCGGTTGCGGCGTCGGAGGAGTGGGCGTAGCCGCATGTCTCGGCGCAGGCGTAGGAGTAACCGACTTAGGTACCGGAGGTTCGTGGGCCGACGGCGACGGGGCCGGACTGCTAGTGGAAAAGGAACCGTTCTGTGCTAGTCTCTGTTCGATTTCTTGCTCCTGCTGCAAGGCTTTCACAAACGCAGTTTTCAGTCTGTTGGTGTGTTCTGCTTTCAGTGCTTTTTTTACGTTGTTGGTGACGCATTGCTCGCATATTACTTTTGAGGCTGAAAAAAAAATAACTTGTTAGAATAGTGAAGAAGTTTCCTGATTGAGACCTTATTCAAAACACAAGCAAAGTCAAGGAAATCAACCATAGAACAAGACAAAAAGTCCAGAAGGTTATCACACAATCTCTGCTTTTTTTTGAATTAACTAAATTTTTGTTGTTTTATAAACATGGAATCCTTTGAGACTTATTATTTCACAAACTAGACAATTCTTACCTTGTTTCTTAGCTTTAGTCTCCCATTTCCAAACAGGAGTGAAATCCATATTACACTGGCTGCACTGGAAAGGTTGCGGCGGCAAAGGCATTTTCGTTTCCTTGGTGAGAAAATCGACAACATGCTCCAGCCCGACCAGATAAATGAACTCCGTGTTACTCGGATTGGGTATAAAGTGCATTTCCGGAGGCGGTGGTTTCGGAGGCGGAATTTGCAAAAGAGTTTTTTCTAGTTGTTTCCTTAGAGCTAATTTGGCAGCCGCTTGTCTTTGAGCGGGAGTTTGATTATCTTCCCTAGAGGAACGATCCTAGAAAAAAAAACATTGAACATAAGTCTTGTGGCGAATAAACGAAAAAATGAAGCGTAGACTTTACCTCTGATGGTAAAACGCTATGCTGAATGCCGGTAGGCATTCCTAATGGCTTACTATCGAGTCCAGTCAAACTCTTTAAGCAGCATTACAGGGAAAATTAGATAATCAGTTCACAAAAAAAATAAACGATTTTTTCTTATATTATTTAACAAGTTTATTCTTACCTTTACTGATTGTGGCGGAGCAGGAGTGATCGTCACGGACGGTGACAAATCCTTAACTCCAGCAGGAAAACCTGATGATCTGCCCACGGCTCCAGAGCGCTGTTGAGATTGAGAAACTGACAGATTTGTGGCTCTATTGCCCGATAACGGGGTGGCAGTGATTTGAGGGGCATGCAGGCTGCTGCTTCTAGATGGTGGTTGCTGCAAAAATTGTTTCTCCATTGTTATAAAAATAATTTCAAATTCACATTTGTGTTAGGTATATGGTTCACTAAATTAATACAGACAAAAAAAAAATTGCTCGATGATAAGCTAAATGGTGTCAAGCCCAAACAGTAGTGGGTTTGTTTGTTTGTTAATAATGGATATCGTTATCAGAAAATTGCATTATTCTAATCTGCTTATTGTACAGTTTGAAGGCGAGAGTTTCTCTATTAACAGTTCGATTATTGTTAAGTTACTTAGTTATGATAAATTCGCTGATAAATTGAAAATTTACATCTAGTGACGAAGCATACTAAACCTATAAAATCAGAGGAAGGAATTTCAAATTGTAAAACACTATTTAATACCAACGATGAAATTAACAGTTTTATGCAAATATTTTGGTAATTGAGTGAGAAAAATAATTCTTCGGGAGTAGAAAAATCAGGCATCTTTGATGACCCACGATTTTCATTTTTCAAAATTTGAACTATATTCTGATTGATCCTTAAGGTTATCTATCTTACTATTACTACTACTAATGGCCTTCATAAGAAATCATTTACTTATTGACTTGATCTGTTTATTTTTAGTTTAATTGATGTAGTTTTGATGAGTTTTCTATTTTCCCTCATTGAATAACATTTCAACTGCTATGAAGTCCTTCAACAACTCAAGATGATTTTCAATGTCACACCTTTATCTGAAATCCTCTAGGCCATTGACAAAAATTAAGTCTGTTATCATTATTTAAATAAAAGAGTGCTTTATTCTGTTGCTAAGACCAATAAATAATGTTTATTTGCAATCATATATGTAATCTTGTCATTACTGACTTTTCAAAAATTTGGAAGTGACACTTTACCTGTGTCACTTCCCTCTTCGATTTCCCACACTGATTTCCCTATTCGACTTCCCTCACCGATTTACCTCACTCTAATTTATTTACCTTTGCTGGCAACAATGAGAACATGTCAGGTAAAAACGTCAAAGCAGTGAATGACACATTATGGCATGTTTGTTTTATTTTTTTAACATTAAAAAAATTGATTGACTAATCGTAATTATTGGTGTGCTTGCAAATAAAATAGTATACAAACCTCGGAGGAAAGTTTTCATTTCTGTCTCGAGATTAATAGTCAATCTCTAGACAGTAATGAAACACTTCCCTACTCGGTATGTAATATACTATTATTTGCAATCATATATGTAATGTTGTCATTACTGGCTTTTTAAAAATTTGGAAGTGACACTTTACCTGTGTCACTTCCCTCTTCGATTTCCCTCACCGATTTCCCTATTCGACTTCCCTCACCGATTTCCCTCACTCTAATTTATTTACCTTTGCTGGCAACAATGAGAACATGTCAGGTAAAAACGTCAAAGCAGTGAATGACACATTTTGGCATGTTTGTTTTATTTTTTTAACATTAAAAAAATTGATTGACTAATCGTAATCATTGGTGTGCTTGCAAATAAAATAGTATACAAACCTCGGAGGAAAGTTTTCATTTCTGTCTCGAGATTAATAGTCAATCTCTAGACAGTAATGAAACACTTCCCTACTCGGTATGTAATATACTATTATTTGCAATCATATATGTAATCTTGTCATTACTGGCTTTTTAAAAATTTGGAAGTGACTCTTTACCTGTGTCACTTCCCTCTTCGATTTCCCTATTCGACTTCCCTCACCGATTTCCCTCACTCTAATTTATTTACCTTTGCTGGCAACAATGAGAACATGTCAGGTAAAAACGTCAAAGCAGTGAATGACACATTTTGGCATGTTTGTTTTATTTTTTTAACATTAAAAAAATTGATTGACTAATCGTAATTATTGGTGTGCTTGCAAATAAAATAGTATACAAACCTCGGAGGAAAGTTTTCATTTCTGTCTCGAGATTAATAGTCAATCTCTAGACAGTAATGAAACACTTCCCTACTCGGTATGTAATATACTATTATTTGCAATCATATATGTAATGTTGTCATTACTGGCTTTTTAAAAATTTGGAAGTGACACTTTACCTGTGTCACTTCCCTCTTCGATTTCCCTCACCGATTTCCCTATTCGACTTCCCTCACCGATTTCCCTCACTCTAATTTATTTACCTTTGCTGGCAACAATGAGAACATGTCAGGTAAAAACGTCAAAGCAGTGAATGACACATTATAGCATGTTTGTTTTATTTTTTTAACATTAAAAAAATTGATTGACTAATCGTAATTATTGGTGTGCTTGCAAATAAAATAGTATACAAACCTCGGAGGAAAGTTTTCATTTCTGTCTCGAGATTAATAGTCAATCTCGACGCTTCGCGTCTCGATTGACTATATAAATCTCTCGACAGTAATGAAACTTCCCTACTCGGTATGTAATATACCATTACCATAACTCGACATAATCATAATTTAATCAATAATGATATTAAAATGAAAATCGCATAATAAATTAGTGTCACTTACGCCTCTCATAAGTGATGATACTCCAGAAGAAGCATTCTTTGGATGTGAATTAGTAATTCCAGGATGTCTTGTGTGAGCAGCCTGAGGCGGTTGGCCCTTGTTATTTGCTGCAGGAACCTTTTTTTCAAAAATATTTCGGTCAAAATCAAGTTACATTATGAAATTAACTAAAAGGGCAGTGTTATTAATACCGTAATACGTTACCTCACCTTAACAATAGTAGGGGTAATGCTTAGGCCACTGGGCAACCCTGCGGCGGGCAATGCCGAAGGTGGCACCCCCGGCGGCAGTTGCACAGCTACGTTTTCTTTGAGCTGCTGAGATTGTTTCAGTTTTTTGAGAAGAACTAATTTCATTTCTTCAGCTCGCAATTCTTCTCTTAATCTTCTCAAACCTCGATCCCTAAAATAAAACAATTCTTCTTATTTTGTTTCTTGGAATCCATGATTGGGCTTCAACAATCCAAAATAGATAAGTTTTTTACCTTTGTTTCAATTGATCCGGCGATAATTCCTTAATTGGCGGCGGTAACGGAGGCATTTCCCCTTCACTGGAATCGCTATCCAAAAAATCGACAATTCCAGTTCCGTTCGTCCTTCTGTCCAGAGAACCGTTGATTAGTGCATCTGGTGATTCTACGTAGCTGCGAGGCTCAGTTCGAGGTCTCAAAATTCGTCTGGAATTGACCATGGCGCCGGATGGATTGATGAGATAGCTCGACGGTATCGAAGAGTGGTGATGGTTTTGAGGTGGCCGCGGTGGCGATTCCCGGTTTATGTTGGGCCTGAACATCAAGATGGTTAATTTTTTAAAATTATATATTTTCTTTATTTAATAAGGCAACTCAAAAACCTGTCAAAAAATGTAGCGACTGGTTGGCAAAGAATGCAAGGATTAGGTGTTTACTGGTGTGTGTCAAGAAAAGTTCTCTTTTCTAGAGAATCAGGCTCTCAGCGTACCTCCAAACATAATTTTCCAAGTAATTTAACCTCAAATTTTACAATCAATTGGCAAATCAAAACCAATATTTATTCTAATTTGAAATAAATTATGAAGAGCCTGCAGTTTTCTACAAAAGACAACATATTTAGTTACTTTAATCGCACCAGTATTTAATGAGTCATTTAAACAAGGCAAAGTTTACGATAAATATAATGAGCCTATTATCATACCAGTTTGCGAAAAAGACAATAAATTACAACCAAAAAAATTATCAACCTGTTAGCGTTACATCATTTGTTGCAAATGTATTGGAATAATAATTATTGCAAATAAACCCCCAAAACAAACTTCTTCAAGCTGCAAAGTTTTATTGTTTCTGAGGTTTCTGACCCCTTAAGTGAGTTGAAGCTAGCTGGGAATATCAACTTCAGCAAAAGGAAATCTGAGGACTTCTACGTTTTATAGATTTTTTAGAAGTTTTGGCATCAAGGATTCAAGATATCCATTCAACCAAAAATTAACCCAATGAAAATATAAACAATGTTATTATGTTTAGGAGGTATGTGGTAAAAGAGATATAAAACAGCCTGACATTTTTTGGGTCTTACACTTCAATTGAATTTTGCCCATGATCTGTTTGTATTAAATTTTTAAAACATGTTTGACTAATATTTCAAACTTTTGTCTTAAATCAAATCATTATAAATATTAATTCCATCATATTCATGAATCATTGATCTTGTTGCAAATTCACTATTTATTTCAATTTTGTTTGTCTAGTTTGATAGATAATATTATGAATTTCATCTTGTTTATAAAGTTGATACTTATTACTATTTTTTGAAAAAAAATTTATCAATGAAGATAAATATGTTCCATTTTTAAATATTTTGATGGTCCATAAAAATTAAAAGTTGGCTCAAAAGGAGGAAATTTATGGATACATTTTATTACATTTTTGTTTTGCTAAATGTATAACGGTCTTAAAGATTTTATTTTTGCTGATCCCCAAATAGAAATTAAGTAAGTATTGGAATTTAGTGAAATAATGCATATTGATTTAAGAATAGATATTTAATAGGTATATGCTCGGGTATAGGTAATGTATATGATCAAATTCTAATATAATAATCCAATTAAAGGTGATATTTCGCTTCCAATAATTTCAATATGTTTGTTCCAATGTAAGTTTTCTTCAATACATATTTTTAAAGCTGAATACATGCTTGATATTTATGCTGATGTCTATAAAGATAAATATTTACCAAGATAAACAATTGTTGTATCATCTGCAAATAATTTGATCAAGAATTTAATATTCTTATTTAATTTTAAATGTAATATTGAGTTGATATAAATTAGAAAAATTATGGACCCTTAGGTGATTGTCTATCTCACCTGTTTGAAGAGATACCCAGAAATGTCAAATGTGAAAGTTGTAGGTACCTAATATCAATGCAACGAAGTTAGTTACAAGTATACAAGGTGTCACAAAAGTGTGGCAAATCAAAGTTATACTTTTTCAAATGGTACACCCCGTATATTTTTGACCCATTGGATTAGCCTTTCAAACCTGATTCCAAATATACTATGTTTATTCCTCATTGTCCAGCTTCTGAATATCCTATTTTGAGAAAATAATATGGATTTTTCACTTAAATGATTACCTTTATATTTTGCTGGTGGTCTCTATATTCACCTTTTTCTTATTTTCTTCCCGACTATTAGGAAGAAACCTAAAAAATCTAGTATATTTGGAATCAGGTTGGCAAGGCTAATCCAATGGGTCAATAAAATACGGGGTGTTCCATTTTAAAAAGTTTAACTTTGCTTTGCCACACTTGTGTGACATGACATACCCTGTATACTTGTAACTAACTTTATTTTCAAACGTCATATAACAGTAATTTTTGTGATCATTTTGACAAGGTATAATAGACCGATCTCCTATTACCTGGACTGCGTGCGTCGCTTGTAGGCTGCAGGTGAGCGTCCAATGAGAAGCAAGTTTATGACAGGCTTGCGTCATATTATTATTCAGGGGCCAGTTCAGAATGAATCGTTCCTTCTTTCTTTGTAACGTGTAATTTGACAAAGAGCAAACTAATACTTTACATATTACTTGAACTCACCGCAGTTTCGTTTAAGGTTATGTTAGATTAAACTTGACATACTCCTTTGCAATTTCATTGAGCGATGTTGCCGGATGAAACATTTATCAAAATAAAAGTGCAAACGATGTTTATCCACTTTAAATCTCTTCTTTTGTCTGATTTAAGGCGTTGTGAAACACTTGAGACTATAATACTTCTTTAATGTTATAATGTTCGATTTGTATTGTCTACATTTGTTCTGCAACAATACAATCTATCTACACTGCAGCCTACGAGTTGCGCGCGCATGTCATCTTTTATTGTTTTCTAACTTGTATTTATTACAATGAAGCTTCCTTTTTCTAATCATGGGAGATAGGTCTGTTGTATTTCATTCGGAGTATAAGTATTCTTCATGTGACTTGCATGGATTTGATTCGCCTTGCTGCACTCGGCGTTCAAACTTCCATGCGCCTCACATAAGTATTACTTATCTATCTATCTATCTATTCAGCCTTCTTCAGTCCATCTTTGGACGTAGGCCTCTCCCAGTCTTCTCCATTCCTCTCTGTCTGTTGCCATGTACATCCACCTGGTTCCAGCGTGCTTCTTCAGGTCATCAGCATACCTCATCCTGGGGTCTTCCTCTACTTCTTTTATTTTGCCAAGGTCTCCAGCTTAAGATACATTTATTCCATCGGTCGTCTTTTTGTCTGATATTGTGACCTGCGAATTTCCATTTTAGTTTTGCTACCTCCTTTCTAACGTCTCTTACTCTCGTTTTATTTCTTATCCACTCGTTCCTCTTTTTATCTATCAGTTTCACATGTAACATTTGTCTTTCCATTGATCTTTGTGCTTTTGTTATTTTATCCATGTTTGACTTTGTAAGTGTCCATGTTTGGGATCCATAAGTGAGAACGGGAAGTATACATTGATTAAAAACTTTGGTTCTGAGGTATTGTGGATATTTTCTATTTTTCAAGATGTAGCTCAATTTGCCAAATGCTGCCCAAGCCAATCTAACTCGTCTCTTGATTTTTGCTGTTTGGTTTTCTTTGTTGAGTTTAATAATCTGTCCTAGATATATATATTCGTCGACGATCTATTTTTTCCTGTCCTATTCTGATTGTGATGTCATCGTCTGTGTTTGTTATTGTTTTAGTTTTAGCGTAGTTCATATTGAGACCTATGTTTTTAGCTGCTGTGTCAAGTTCTTCCAGCATTTCTGTCAGTTTTTCTTTCTTATCAGTTATTAGGGCGATATCATCCGCGTATCTTAAGTTGCTCAAGTGTTGTCCGCATATTTTTAAACCTTTTTCTTCCCAGTCTAGTTTTTTAAAAAGATCTTCCAGGGCCTGGTTGAAAAGTTTGGGTGATATTGTGTCGCCCTGTCTGACACCTCTTCCTATGGGTATTACTTATACTCCTAATAAAATAAATATCTATTATTGCAAAGTTTCTGATATTACCTACAACTTTCACATTTGACATATCTGGGTATCTCTTCAAACAGGTGTGGGTGCAAAATATAGACAATCTCCTGGTACTTATACTAGTTGTACTCATACTTATCTGACCCTTTTGGTACACCACTGTTATTTATTTTTTGAGAACTTCCATATTACCAATTTGAACAAATTGTTGTTGTTAATGTAAGTAAGTAGTATTCAAACCAATCATGGATATGTCTCCTAATTCCCATGTTATGTATTTTTTTAAATAATAAACTCGATAATAAATCATGGTTTACACCAGTATCAAATGTCTGAAGATAAAATATATTTTTTTTTATTTTGGTCAACATTTAAGTGAGTATCACTGTAATGTCAACTAAAGTAATTTCTGTTACTCTATCATTCACAAATCCATATTGATTTTTTAACAATAAATTCTGCTTTTCTGAAAATGTTAATATCTCGATTAATACTTAATTTTTCATATTTTCAAAATTCTAGAAAATATTGGTGAAACTGAAACTGGTCTGTAATAATTTTGACCCCCTGTTTCAAATACTGGGGTGGTTGTTTCTATTTTCAATTTTCCAAATATCTCAAACTTGGAATCAAGTATTTCAATCCTGATTGTTTTAATAATTTTTACTGATATTCAGTCATAACCACTAGCTTTATTTAATTCCAAATTGGTAATTATTTTGTCAATTTTACTGTCCACAATCTCCTTATTCAAAATCATTGAATGTTTTTCAATTATTTCTTCTTGGTATATTTTTGTATAGATTTAGTCCAACTTCAATTAAATGATTATTTATTTCTTCACAAATGAAATACCTGTGGAAGACCCTCCCCCCCTTTGGACTTATAGTTCCTGAGAAAAAATCGTGTTAAGGAATTTGGGGTGAATTTTTGACTTTTTCTGAGGTCTTTTTTTTATATATTTTGTCTTCAAATCTTACAATAAACCACTGTATGAAGTTTCTGGGCTCCTAAATCTCCACAAAAAAAAACATATTGGAAGAAGGACTTCCCTCTTCGGACTTGAATTTTTGAAAACTTTGAATAATCATAATTTTTTTTCTATAGTAGATAGAAAACTGAAATTTTCAGCGATTCTTATCCTGGTAGAGGACTACAAACTCTGAAAAATTTCAACTCATTTGGACTTATAGTTCCTGAGAAAAAAATTGAGAAATTTGGGGTGAATTTTTGGATTTTTTATATTTTCCAAGGTAATTTTTTCATATATTTCGGCTTTAAATCCAACAATAAATCACTGCATGGAATTTTTT